ACATAAAATCGTTTATCAAAAAAAAAAAAAAAAAAAAAAAAAAAGCATGACTGGTGCAAACAGCGTGTTTGTTTACTTAGCGAGGGCTATCACGGTTCAGCTCAACAGGGAAGCTTCTGTAAGCAGATGGTCCAGTGTTCTGGTTTGCCCTTGAGAAAGGGCACCAACACAGTGGTAGCAACACAGCAATATGCGGCAGCTGAGGATTTGGTGGGAAAGCCTTTTAAAAGCAGGCTTTGAGAGTCAGAACTGTTGGAGAGGAGTATGTGTGTATGCATATATGCAAACTATTCATTTTTTATACCTTAAGATGAATATGAAATTAGCATTTGTAACCTGATACAACGTGCCCTTTTGTTCCTTCCCCTGTACCTCCAGAGGACATCTTCCCCTGCAAGGCATGTGGGATCTGGTTTAGAAATGAGAGGAATCTACAGGCCCACCTGATGTACTACTGCAGTGGGCGACAGAGGGAGCCAGAGACGATTGTGGAGGAAAATGACACTGGGCCTCACCAGACGCCCAGTATCTGCCCTTTTCCACACTGCAACAAAAGCTTCTCTGGAGTGAGGGGCCTGGAAATGCACTTAAGCACCTCGCACAGTGGTAAGAGCCACTGTCTTGGCTGTTAACACATAGATGATTTAAACCAGTTTTATCCTAGCATTTTCAGATTTGTAAATAGAAATGTATAAATAAATTTATAAATGTATGCATACATAGATATATGTATATGTATATATATATATATACATATATATATATATGTATATGTATATATATATATATACATATATATATATATGTATATGTATATATATATATATACATATACATATAGCTAAAAGCAGACGTTTTATCCTTGAGTAAAAGAAACATAGTGGATGGGAATCAGCTTGGCATAATGCATGAGTCTGTGATGGCTTCCACAGTTAACTCTAAAGGAAAAGTGGGAGGTGAGATTCTGAGCATTTCTCTCTTTTATCTCCTTCAAAGGTGTCAAAATGGAAGAGAGCCTCCCTCCTGGCACCAGCTTGAAATGCACAATCTGTAACTACACGGCAGATTCTCTTATTACATTCCAGCATCACATCATGTCTCACCTGTCACAGGCTGCCTTCAGATGCAATCACTGCCATATCAGCTTCCAGAGCCACAGGGAACTCTTACAGCATCAGGACTTACATGGGCACGGCAGCAAACTTCACAGGGAAGGCGACGGCAGTGAGCATTCCCCCAAGGGAGTGGAGGAAAGCCTCCAGCAGCAGCAACAGCAGCATCAGCAGCAGGCAGCACGCACAGAGCTGGCCAACAGGAAGGATGCTCTGCTGGGAAGTCCCAAAGGAGCCCTCAACAAGGAGACCGGCCCAGACGGAGAGAATGACAAGACTGAGAAGAAGCCGATGCTGTCAGTTCAAAAGGGAGAGGCACACCCAGGCAGCAAAGCCAGTTTCTCTTACACCAGAATCAAATCTGAGCCCTCCAGCCCCAGACTGGCCTCCTCCCCTGTGCAACATAACATGCCTACATTTCCCATGGGCCCTTTCCTGTCTCAGTTTGCTTTCTCCCAAGACATTTCAGTAGTCCCGCAGGCATCTGAGATTCTGGCTAAAATGTCGGAATTAGTTCACCGAAGGCTCCGCCACGGAGGGAACAGTTACCCTCCTGTCATCTACAGTCCTCTCATGCCCAAAGGGGCCACCTGTTTTGAATGCAATATCACCTTCAGCAACCTGGACAACTACTTGGTCCACAAAAAGCACTACTGTAATAGTCGCTGGCAACACATGACAAAGTCTCCTGACTTTTCCGCCCTCTCAGATAAGGTGCCTGAGGCGGTGAGCCCCAACAGTGGTCACACTTCTGTTAGCATGTTGGCCAGCTGCCATCCAACAGAGGCAGACAGCCACCTCATGCAGTCCGCCTGTCTGAACTCCAACGTGCTGGACATGATAAATGCAGGAGCTAAAGGGCCGGATAAGGATCTAGCAGGACAGATAAAAGTCTCCACCCCGACTGGAGCCGAGGAGAGGCTGAACGGAAAGCAGATGGACGGTAAGAGTCCCAGCACAGGTCTGGTGGAGAGTGACAATGATCCGAACAAGACAACCTGTGAGGCCTGTAATATCACCTTCAGTCGCCATGAGACCTTCATGGTCCACAAGCAGTATTACTGTGCCACACGTCATGATCCACCCATGAAACGTATGTCTAACAACAAGGTGCCATCCATGCAGAGAACCATGAGAACCCGCAAGCGCAGGAAGATGTACGAGATGTGTCTCCCTGACCAGGACCATCAGAGGCCCCCGCTGGGTCAGCCAGGTTTCCTTGGAGTTCCACCCATGAACCCCTGTACATCCCAGGAATCTGTGGAGAGCCTTGCAGAACGCATCCATCCACGCTGCGACATCTTCCCAGGTATGGTACCTAAACACCTGGAGGCCTCTCTGACTGTGAGTAAACCAGTCCTCACTCCTAAAAGCAACACAGTGGAGCAGCAGGAGCTGGACGCTCCTATTGATCTCAGCAAAAAGTGTTCACCGGGCTCTGACAAGTCGTGTTGCTCACCTAAAAGACTGTTGGATTATCACGAATGTGCAGTGTGCAAGATAAGTTTTAACAAGGTGGAGAACTACCTGGCACACAAACAGAACTTTTGTCCTGCAACTGCTGCTGCCACCGCAGGCGCACCGCAGCCGCCGCAGCAGCAACAACAGCCACAACAGCAGCAACAACACAAAGAGAGTGGCGGCCTGGAGACGAGCATGTATCCTGAAGTGAAGAGTGAAGGCAATAACAACCCTGATGATGCGTACGATAAGAGCCCTGGCATATGTGAGAAGAATGGCAATGGAAAGGTTATAGTGCAGAATGGAGGCATGTTCCCCCCTCACCTGGGGCCTGTGGCGGCACTCAAGCCATTTGCCGAGCCCCAGCTCATCCCATCAAAAGATGAGAGCAAGAATATGTTTCTGCCCCACTGCCTTTATCCCGGAGCAATAAAGAAGGTGAAAGGTCCAGAGCAAATATCGCCGTACTTTGGGATAAAGCCAACTGATTATGTGACCGGGGGACCAGTGATGCAGGGTGAGGTCAGCGAACAAGAGCAGAGCATTAATGGGGCAGGTACAGGTGGAGGAGGGGCAGGTGAAACAGGAACAACCAGAGAGCAGGCCCAGCAGCCGGCTGCTAACGGTTGCCCCCACCCTGGCAAGGAGCCACTTCCTCTACTGCCCAAAAACCGCAGCATGGTCATCGTCAACGGAGGGCACAAACCGGAAGAGCATTTAGGCACGGCTCCACCACAACAAGAGAATCAGCCGCAGCCAGAGAACCAATCCCTTAAATCTTCTCCTACGTGGGCCGCTGAGAACCAGACCGACTCTAATGAGAACATGTCGCCTACTTCTAAGTCACCAAACGAAGACGGGACCCCCACCGCCACTAAAGGCATGAACGGCTCTGGAAGTGGGAAGTACTGCCGACTGTGTGACATCCAGTTCAACAATCTGTCAAACTTTATTACCCATAAGAAGTTTTATTGTTCATCACATGCTGCTGAGCATGTAAAATAAATGAGAAGAAAAAGACAAGTCCATCTCCTCCCACCCCACACTTTTTCCTCCTGAACTTTAACCCCCCCCCCGCCCTTTTCTTCTTTGTTTTGGTACACTGTTGTGTCTGGAATAGTGCATCATGCAGTGCTAACCGCTGCTTGTGGACAATCAAGAGAAGCTTCTTCTTTAACTGTTTTAACACGTACAAATGCAAAACCATTTGGTTAAGAAAAAAAAGAAAAAAGAAATGAAAAAGGAACCAAGAGTTATATTGGTGCCACTTTCACATTAATTTATTTTACAATCAGTATTAATAGGAGTAGTGATCTTAATTTAAATTCAAAAATTGAAATTTATATCAGAGTTGTTTGTAATGTTATTGTATAGTCATTCTTGTGTAGCACACATATTGTTTACACTGTAATGTAGGCTCAACGAAACAATAGACGATACGGAAATGAGATGCATTTTAGACACAAAAATAGCTACTGAGGCACCTGTGTATTCTTAATTGCTGTACCAGTTTCTGTATATGCCCCAAATGTCACATGCAGATTGCTACGAGTGACTTGTTCAGCCTTAAAACGCACCACCGGGGGCGTGACAACCAGGCCCAACCCTGCATCTCACATTTTGGCATATACACATGGCTTTGCATACATATGTGGCTGTTTGTCCCTGTCTCTTTTCTTCAACTCCGATGTGGATGTTTTCATGAGGATGGCAGCATTCCTGTATAGTACTCGTATTTCTGTTTGATGATACACTTTGGTCTCCTTTTTTTGCAATTTGCTCCTACTGCAATACTTTGTAAATGGGGGAACATTACTGAAAGCAGTATTATAAAATGGGGACTGTGCATATAATTATTTGTTTCCCCATTAAGGAAAAAAAAGAAGTTGTACAAGAATTATGTTTATTGCCGATGAACAAGATGGGTGGGAGGTCAGTGGGGATGCTGATGTAAAATGATCATTCCAATGTCCTGATTATGGGAGAAAATGTTTCTTAAAACGTTGTTGCTATGCATGTATATGGATGGAATTAAATTCCAAATCTGTTGGAAAATTTTTATTTTAATGTGGTGTCACAATTAAACTTAAATCCTCAGGATAAGTCATGCTGTCTGGGCTTTCATTTAAAATTCAAGACTGGGGTATCCAAGTATTATTATTAGTACTACATGAAAACCAAAGATAAAATAAAGTCGTTTTAAGAAAGGCAAAACATCACTGTTTTATTAGTGCACTGATATCCACATCAGTGCATATAATCCTGTTTATAGCACTACCTGGAGGTAATTTAGAGAAAAGTACTGCGCACATGTTTCATTTAAAAATAAAGACTGAAAGAAAATGTATATTTTAACTAGAGGACACTGAATTATTTCCATTTAGTTGATTGAAAAGGAATCAAATTTACAAGACCACCTGACCTAATATTCACATTGGTAGAATTGTGGGGTTTAGGTGTTTTAGTAGAACAGTTGGACCTCTGAGTGTTTTTACAGTACTGAATGAGTTAGTTTAAGAATTGGGGACTTAGTGGAATCAAACTGGAATTATGTTCATGACAAGCAGGAATTCTCCTCCAGCTTCCCCCTCCACTACAGCCACTGTAATGAATGTGGCTTCATATGTTTCCATATTCCTGGCACACGAGTAGACACAGTGTTTTCTGTATTATTTTTTTTTTAAACGACAACTGTAGAAAACCTTTTCTCAAAAAGCCCCAAGGACATTCCAGTTAAACAGTCTAACGCCACCTGCTGTTCCAGTCTAAAACTGAATGACATTTTTAGAAAATGATAGAAGTCCTGGTTCAAAATGCAAAACTCTGGTTTTCTGGACAGACTCATGTTGAGAACATGTTCTGTGCTGATTGGGATATAAACTAGTTCTGTTGGTTTGACAGATAACTACAGCTGATGCAGCAGAGACACAGGAACCCGGCGTACTTTTGCCTGTGGCCACATAACCTGGCAGAACATTGAGACAGAGGCAGCTGAGATAAAGAGAATGAGGTTGTGCAGTGAAATATGTGGCCTTTAAATTGATATGGAGTAATGTATTAATTTTTGGCACTGGCCTATCAGGTAAGGAGACTGAAATAACAACGTGAAGAGATTAGATTTGCTCAATCTTAAAACAGCAAATATTTCATCACACCCAGGACCCCGAGGCTATCTTCAATTAAAAATCTTCCAAAGGAAAAATTAAGTTTTAAAATTGACTTTGTGATGAACCTTAGCACACATTCTCAACAGACAGCTCGAGGGAAAGGTAAAAAAAAAAAGATAATCGGCTTTTTTTTTTTAATATTTAAATGTGTGTGGCCCAGGTCTGAGGTCTAGTTACATTTTGTCCATGGGTCACTGGCTCTGCTGTCTGGACTGTCGCTGGTTGACTATCCTCCGCAGGTACTGACTGATGACAGATGGCTGCTTGTAGATCATTCGTCGGTCTGCTCCTTTAATGTGAATCTGATTGGCCGTTGGGTAAGACTCCTCCAGAAACTTCTTTTGAAGCTTAGCCACCATCTGGTGCAGGGAGAAGATCATTTATTATGTGGTTTCACAAACAGCTTTTATCATATTGTCTTTTCACTGTGACGGACTTCAGCTGACAAACTTACCTGGTTCAGGTGGCGTGGTATTTGTTCATCAAATGCATCTCCAGTGATGACACTCACTGACACCTGGCTGGAGAGAGGCTTAAACCTCGTAATGTCTCTTTAAAACCAAGACAATAAATAAAAAAATTAGTTTTACCATTTTAACCATCCATCGGTTTTTTTATCTAAATATAACTGTTTATAAAAAAAATGTATACCTCACTTGAGCTGCACTCTCATTCATAAAGTAGTGTTCATCCACTGCACTGCTGTGATGGGCCGGGTTACAGAGGAGATATTTCTGTAAGAAAAAACAAACACAACAAAAACACTTAAAATTAATCATTATCAGATTTAATTTATTTCTTTTATATTTATTTCAATGGTTTGCAAAGATATTCCTGAATATTTTCACAAACAAAAAGAAATCACAATTCTAATTACAACGCTGCAACAATGAATATACATTTTAGTAATAATAATCATTGTTGATTAATCATTTCCCAGCCTCATATTTTTATAGATACAAACTGATAAAGACTGCTGTTTCTACTGTAACACTGTATGAGTGTTGTTTGATTTGCAGGCTGAGCTCAGGTAAAGTTCACCACCAGACTCTGTCACCCACAAATGGCTTTGTAGCTGTTAACATAGCAGCAAACAATTGTGCTCCAGTTCAATTAAGCAGTGGTTACAGAACATGCCCTTGAGAAATGGACTGCATGCTCTATTGAGTTCAGTGACCCTGTGTCTGCCTGCGTGTGTGTGTACACGTTATAACCTTCACTAGCCTGTCTACAAAACCTTCCTCTGTCCTTGGAGAATTCAAGCACAATGATGTCCTTATCTCCTTGGCAACAACTGTAATACTTGAAAAGCTGAAACGGCTCCCTCATCTCTCCTGCCATCAAATCGTGGGTGGCTGGCAGCACAGAACAAGGCGCTTTAACGAACTGTTCACATTCAACCAGAGACAGGTGTAGGTGCATCATAAAAACAGCTGTGAAAAACCACCCAAGGCCTAACAAATGTTAGGAAAGTCCCTGAAGTGTGGAGTGTTCCTTTAAAATGTGTGTGTGTGTGTGTGTGTGTGTGTGTGTGTGTGGTTGGGGGGGCAGAGGCGATCTTAATGTGACACACAACTCACTGTGTGTGTCTCTAATGGACACTGAGTGAATGTTTACTTCAGTGTGAAAATTAAAATGTCATTCTGCAGAGGGCACCTCCCCATGTTACACCAGATATTGGCTGTTGTTTATCCACACACTCAATTACTCCCTTTTTTCGCTGAAATGTTTTCCACAGCAAAGACAAAATGACAAGTGCTACGGCGGCGGGTTTCTCTTAAAGACATTCACACCAGATCAGAGGAAAAAAAGGGGGGGAAAACTCATCTGCAATACACAGCAAAAAGCTTGTAGCTTTTATTAACAGCCGTTTCCTCACAAACTGTATGAGCTGTCAAAAAGCTGAGTTTTACAATATAGAAGGCATCCAGAGATACAGGACAGCGGCGGCATCACGTCAGCCGCTGGGATGGGTTCAATTTTCATTTATTTAAAAAAGGATGTCTCGTGTCACACGGAGGCAAATTCACAGTCTCTGACGATATGAAGACAAACGCTCCTGCAATCATAAAGCATTTGCATCTCTGCAAAAGCGTAAAGCGGGATTATTCTAGCACTAGCACCACCCTGTGGGCGTAGAATGATAATGGTGGACGAGACCGCCCTGACTCTTTTTCAGCAAGTGAAGAGAGCATGGATAAAACGTCCTGTCTTTACATTGTATGGTGATTGGTTAATGAATCACGGGGAACATTATTACATTTGAATGCTCAATATTTTTAGAAATTCTTCAGTTAACCTGTAATATACCTTTGGGTAGGTGGTTAAATAAATGAAAGGGCAAAGATGTTTTTTAAAATTTCTATATCCACACTGTCTAACTGGTGATGACTGAGGAGAATATACAGGAAAAAACGTCATCAGTGATGGCAACAGGGCCTATAAATATGAAAATAAATAAATAGGATTTTTGACCTTCCTGGGTCAATGGACACAGACACAAGTCTTTCCTTTAGTTTAGCTGCAGTGAACCTGTTAAATCCTAAAGCAGGAGCTGAAGTTTTCAAAATGAAAAAAATATCCCTATTCATGAAAATAAAATAGGAATTTCTCTACCTATCCTCTATTTAAGTCTTTAAACTTCTGCAGGTAGTCTTTTCATCAAAGAATTTCTCCTTTGAATTTGTGCTGCTTCTTTGTCTTGTCTTAAGCCTGGAAACCAAGTTATTTTTAAAGGTTCTTTCAGTTTTGATTAAATTAAAAAAAATGCAACGGAACTTAATCAAAACCTGGGGCAAAGTAAACCTCACTTATTTCTAATTTCTTACAGATTTTATTGACTCGCCCTTGTGCTGTATGTGACATCTTCATTATTTTCCACACTAACACTAAATTCCACCCATTATTACCAACATGGTATTTGTAGTTGTACTTGACTAAAAGTCAGTCTGAAGTCAGTCCTGCAGCAGCAATGTCTTGTATAATAGAGCAGTAATAATGTGACCATCCGACGTCTTCTGTCACGAGCAATTCTTACCTGGCGTTGGACGACGTCCTCTGGGACACCATCACCTTCCACAGTTGGATGTAAGGCCCCCAGGATTATCAGGAGGCGGCTAATTCCTGCAGCAGCGGAAAACTGTCCAGCCTGGAACGATGGAAGAAGCTTCCCAAACCTGAACGAACACACACACACAGATATGTAAATATGATGAATTATTCCACTGGGATTATTAGGCATTCATGTTGGTCACTGCGTGAATTTTCATTTTTTGTGAAACTTAATTCAAATCATTTCTGTGAGTTTTCAACCTATTAATTAACTTAGAAATGTTTCAAATACACTTTTCTCAACTGTAAGACAAAGGTTCAGGTATTTGAACATTCGTTCATGGATGAATGTTGAACATTAGCAGTTATGAATGTGTTAGCCATAACATGTTGCAGGATTGTAGGCAATTAAAGTTCAACCATTTTTAACCTTCAATTTTTTTCTCTGAAAACATTTGCCTGGAAGAAAAAGAAGATTTTTTTTGAAAGGTGAAAAGAAGAACAGCTGTGGGATTTTGTAACTCAGGAGGTCCAATCGGTCTCAGCTCACTGATGCTCTGAATTGGCTGGTCTCAGCCTTCAGAGCCCAATCAATAGTAGGGCCACTGCTGTGAAGCCTGCCTCTGCATTCAGCCTGCACAGTGTAGATCATGAACCTCGAGACGCTCGTCTCTCATCGTCCTGGTCCAACTCCTGATCTGGATCAGACTAACAGCACCGTGATCTTCAGCTGCTTTAGTTAACCCTAAGTAAATCAGATTAGGAGATCTGTGGACTTCACCAGGGTAAGAGCAGATTATTATGTGTTTCTCAACCTTGGGGTCAGGGCACCAGATGCAGTTAGCTGGAATTCAACTGGGGTTGCCAGAAATGTCTAGTAATTGATAAGAAGAAAATTACTGATAAAAATATGTATAACTTATTATACATTGTTTTTTTCAATTGCGATTAAGACTACACACAGTCTTAAAAAACTGTATTCTTTCACGTTCCTGAATATGAATCAAATTCAAATAAAACGCTAGAGCAACTTGATTGACAGCTGCGATCACACGACCGCACAAGTGACAGTTACTTCATTCCTTGAGTACTTTTTGCACATACTGTATCAGGCTACTCCGTATTTATAAGACAGTAAAGGTGATACAAATTCAACTGGCTTCCATTCATTTGTGGCTACATTTTACCAACTCCTTTACCTTCTAACACTGAAACTGTGGAGCGGCTTTTTCAGCAGAGAAACCTCCAGTGCTGCATCACTGCCATTAAAAAGCTCATATCAAGAGGTTGTTATCACAAACGTACACTTTTCATGTGTAAAATAACCCATTTCACCTGTTGTTGTTGATAATGTACATTGCTGCTACCCAAAGGACTGTGACTTCAAATATCAAGCCCTGCTCCGTCAAAGCATGTCAGCACCCAGAGCTCAGATAAAGCTGATAGAAACAGCAGGAGAACGGTTTGTTCGACGGCAACAAACGGCTGCGTGAGATATCTTATCTGCGGTATTCACGGAACAAGAAAACAGTCCCTACAGGTCAATAATGGATATGCACATGG